GTGATATTAATGTTAAAAACGAAATTTACTTTCATAATTTTTCATTAAAATAAATGGAGAAAATGTGTAATAAATGCATTCTTAGGATATAGGTAAATATTTTTATATTAAATTTGTGAAGTTAAGTGGTTATTGAAATATATATTTTTTCAAACTTTGCCTTGAAGTATAATTAATACATATTTTAGTCACTTAATATGAAGAATAAAAAAGCTAATATTAATTTTAACATTAATCTTATATGTATTAATTTAATTGATTAGTTGTTAAAATTAAAATTAATAGTATTTAATTTTTTATGTAACTTAAGAGTTAAAAAGTGCATTAATTACATTCTTAATTATTTCCTTAAGGTAAATATTAAAAGGTTTTTTAACTAACCTTTTTGTCATAAATGCATATAAAAAAATCTAAAATTTGATATTAATTTTAATATTGATGTCAAGTGAATAAATTTAACTGGATAATTGATAAATTAGACATCAGTTTTCATTTTTTAATACAAATTTATAATGAAAAAATATATTTAATAGATCATATTAGAAAGACCCTTTATTAAAAAAGAATTTTTTTACCGTGTGCATCTTTTCACTATTAATTTGTATAAAAAAATAAATATTGACTATAGTTTTATTAACTATCTAATTAAAATATTTCATGAGGAATTAATGTTAAAAATAAAATTTATTTTTGTAATTTCTTTATATAAATTGCGAAAAGATATGATAAATATGCCCTTAACATATGTCCAAAAACCATATTAAAAAAACTCATTAAAATAATCTTAACAACTTTTTAAGTTAAGTTTATGAACACCTAAAATTTAATATTAAGTTATCAGTAATAATGAATCTTTATATTTACATTTGTGATTAGTGTTTATCTACCTTATCTCTTAAAAATTAAAAGAAAAATTATTTCAAAACTATGTAGTCTCAATAAAACATTATGGGAAATGACAAAAAAAATCATAATTCATGTTTTAAAAATATGATATTTTAATCTTTTTCAATAGGTGTTTATTAAAATGACATAATTTTAAAATAATATTTTTTCTAATATTGAAGAGATAAGACGAATAAACACTATTTTCTTTACATTTTTACTTAATATAAAATTTAAAGCATCACAATTTATCAACTCAACATGTATACTTACTAATAAATTATATGCTAATATTAAACGTAGTTCACCTCTCTAATTAGTTCATAATGGTTAGGCTAAATGTGAATCACAGTAAAACTAAATAAATATAAGAGATAAGTTAGAAATTAACAACATAAATTATTAAATTTGAAAGAAGAAGTGGAGCAGGACATTAACTCAAAGGTGCTTCTCGCCTCCTAGTTGGCAGCACACACGAAAAAAAAAATCCAAGAAATGCGCCAACAATTGATCGTTTGTGGATTAAACGGTTCAAATAGACGACTAAGGCAACTCCGTCAGAAAAAGGATGAGAACGAACAAAATAATTGGAGTACACGGACTACATTTAATGCTTTTGGTGAAGTATAGGGGTGACAATGAATAAATCCTTAGTAGAGGGACGACGGTTGGCTTTAACCCAAAGTTGAACTTAACCATGGTTAACATAGGAGTTGCATTTGCGTGTGAAATCATTTCATGTAAACGCTTGATTTACTCATTTCATTTCAAAATAATAGATATTTTTTTATTTAAAATTTATTTAAAAATAATAATTATTTTTTTAATTTTTTTAAAAATTAAATATATATTTTTAAAAATTTTATGATTGCTTTTAAATTTTAAATATCTATCTTATATAGCAATCTATTTATTTTTATTTTTTTAAAGATAAAATAAATAAAAATATAAATTACTTTCAAATCTTTAATCATAAGATAAAAATAAAAAATATTTATTATTTTAAAACAAAGAAAATATATTAATATACAGTTAATGTAGAAGCAAATTATTGATTGAAGAATCTCAACAACATACCTTATACAATTCAAATGTTATTTTAAAGTTTAGATTAAAGAAAAAAAACATTTTTGAAACAATATATCAACATTCCGATGCATATGCCTTTTTGATTAACATAACTGCATACCTATGACCTTTGATACCTTAAAATCAATGTTAAACCCAGTTGGAATAATTCACATCCTTTTTTGATCAACCAAAAATGATTTCATTGAATGAGAGCACAAAAAGGTACTGCAACCCATACAATATACTGCTGTAAAAACTTCATCAGGCCACTTCAAAGACATCATCACAGAAGTTCTAAAAATAAAACAAGAGACTACATCTTCCAAGCTCCAATTCACAACAATCAGTACACCCGCATACACCATTAATGCACATCCTACTTCCTAGTTTTCAACATGAAACAAACGGGGATGATCATGATGTCTAGCACCTTACTTTTTTGTTGATTTTTCAGATAAATAACAAACAGAAATTATTTTCCTCAACTCCTGAACATGTGGATGTAGCATATTAGGCAATTAATTGAAATGCCCTTGGGGACAAAGAATCTTATCCCATCAGGATCTTTACTTGTTCATGTATTTTGAGCAACTTATAGACTCGTCATGCTCCTTCAAGTACTCAATGAATCATTTTAAGAATCCATCACTTCTTACTGTTTCAGTGTCAGACTGGGCAACAATTTCTTCTTGCTTGTGTTGCAGCCACATTCATATTCATCCATGGTCACTTAAAAACCCCACCTAAACATATTCAAAATGATACAATTTTATTTCCATATTAGAGTTCTACCAAAGGAAAAAAAAAGTTAGAACAGTAGCTTAGACTACCTCTTTGGCATGGTTTGATAAAAAAATGGAAATAATAGTGGCTTCTTTCTCTTGACCTTGGAAACCATCAGAAGTTGAGATTTCCACGTTCTGTAGACTGTCCTTATTGCACCGCAACATCTTTAGTAAGACAACCTGAAAAATAATTGAAATTTGAAAGAACAAACCATCCATGCATTGGTCAATTCCTGAAGGGAATGGAAGCAGAGCAAGGAAAGACAACTGACTAGCTGGAGCACAATATACTCTTTAGTACCTGCACTGAATATGGGGTAATGTAATAATTCCAATATAAGAAGCTTGGACTCGTGTCTTTGCAAGAGAAATATCAACTTCTGTGCTAGTTCAATTACATTCATGCTAGTTAAAGTGTGACAGTATATATGAATCAAAGCATGACTTGCACAAGATTCATAAGATCCACATTTTGAACTTCATGTATAAAATACTGCACTGATAAACATTATGTGATGCAAAAAGCAGAACTCAAGCTCACTTAAGCACATTAATACAAGCTCTGGTACCAATTAAAGCCAATATGCTAATAGCACATAAGGAAAAGTGCAAATATTGCACCTAAACCAGCAAAACTTCGAGAGCTCCCATCACTATTTATTTGAGTCCTTACCTTTGTGTGCTGGAAGAACTTCTCCTTTGGTGGATGAACTCAAGTAGTGTTTTCCCCGGTAGCCCTGTCCACTTCGAAAACCAAACACAAAGTAAATTATAAGATACCCAAGTCATTCAATGTTACATTTTGGTAGAATGAATCAAGGTCTGACTTTTATTATTGTATATGATTCCTAAGGTCTACACTCAAAACTTTTCAGAAAATAAAGAACTGAAAAGCCATTACACCATTATGTGATACATTAAGATTCAAGCTTACTTAAATACATACAGTGCAAGAGAACTGCTTTCCATATTATGTACCAGTAAAAGTTAATATGAAGCAAAAAATTGATTGAAGAATTCTAGTAGATCCTACCTTTTGTTTTGGCCAACACAAAGGCTGCCACATTCTCCACTTTTTCTACACAAAAAGGGACTATCTAAACCTTCTTCTGGGATCTCATCCTGTTCAACGTGCACAAGAAGTCAGCAGCACAAGACTTCAGAAGAATCATGCATAACTAGAAACAACAAAATCAATAATGAAGAGTTTAGTATTTGTTCCTATCAATTTAACAACAAAATCAACAATGTAATAAGCCACAGTTTCTTTTACAAGTCTCAATTACCTTTAGCCAAAAAACTACACCTTGCCAAAAAGCAGGAGACTCCTAATCAGCTTTCTTTGGTTTTAACTTTTAATACAACTACATCATGGGTGTCAAACTGCATTGAAAATTAATAAACATATATAACTTGAAAATCTATTTGACCACGGGAAAAGTGGTTTAGAAACAAGACAAAATAAAAGACATGCACCATCATTTGCATTGGATGGAGCAATTTAATAGTAATTGCTATGAGATATTTGATGCACGTTTGTTGTTAATTTAATTGAAAAAAAAAATGAAAAAAAATAAGATTAAGCTTGAGTGTACAAGTAATGGAAAATAGATGTAATGTGATTTGAAAAATCACAATGTCTGGAAAATTGCAGAATCAAAACTCATTTAATGTCTTTAGACTTTAGAAATGTAAAGAATAATCACATTCAACATGATACTGAACATGAATAAGCAAAATTCAAAATATTGCACCAAAACCATAAAATATGTAAGAGCTACCACCCCTACTAATTTGAGTCCTCACCTTGTTAGCCGAAAGAAGATCACCTTTGCTGGATTGAAACTACAGAAGTGTTTTTCACCAAAAGCCCTGTCTACTTTGCATACCTAATGCTTGACAAATTATAAAATACCTAAGTGATTTTATATTTCATTTTGGTAAAAACAGAAAAAAAAAAAAGGTGTTTATAGAAACTGATATGTGAAAATCATGCATACTTGAGCTGAATAATTATGCAGAATCCTTTTTATTTCAAATCCACGAATGATTCATATAATAGATATATGATCTGAACATCAACACACTTGAAATTCAGAATATACAGTGAAGTCCCTGTTTTGAGCAGTATCCAAATTTCTTGAAGAGTCTGAAAAAATAGATGCCGATTTCTTTGCTTCCTGACACAATTAAATACAAAAAATATTGGCAAATACCACCAATTTCTTCTATCCACTGTCTCATTTTGCAGTTCACTAGTAAGCAATTACCAGGAAAGCATTACACTTCAAAAAAAAAAACAAAATAAAATAAACCAATATGTGCATTTTCATTAATGATTTTTTTTTTTTCTCATTTTCATTACTGAATGACTGAGAAGACAATTTACAGAGACACCCATTTCTCAAATGGTGATAATATTATATAATGACAACTTAGACCAAATAATAATCAAAAGGGAGATGAACTGTTGGAGAAAAAACCTAGTCCAAATCCATTAAAGGAGTTAGTGATGGTGGAAATGAAGTGTTACAGATGACTTCTTGGTCTTGTGTCCCCCCATCGCCATAGCTGCTTCTCTGCCAGTTAGAGAGAATGAAAGATTTAAACAACACACGCATGTATAAACATTGTTCTCGTAAAAGGGAAAACATATATATAAAGAGAGAGAAGCCTCAACCTTTATGCCTTGGCTTGCAAAGTTTGCCTAAACCTTTACAAGCCAACATTTGCATCTTTTTATCTTTAGTTCTGTACTGTTGAACAAGAAGCTATCACCCAACAGAAGAGAAAAAGAAGAAGAGAATCAGTGAATTGGTGATTTGATTGTTGTGGGTTGGAATTCCTGCTTTCTCTCCAGTTAATTCATCAAAGATTAGATTGAAAACACATATTTATGTATGTACATGGTACAACTAAGATATATAACAGTGCAGCAAAATACATAAGAATACAGATGGTGTTCTAAATCAGTTTTCCACACAATTAATTGACAGAGTATGAAAACACAAGAATCACACTAAAACAATCCACACAAGGCTAGTAGAAAGGACATCCTTTGAAGCTCGGAAGGAAAAGCAACAACAGACTGGTTGAATGAACCGGCTTCCTGATCCAATGAAAAAACAAAAAGAAAAAATTCATTACTTGAAAATCATGGGGAAGGGAAATTAAGCACTACCATACATTTTTTTTTTTTTTGCATATTTAAATATATGCATTTTCATTCATAACAAATTCCTCAATTTGTTGGAAATGAATGGTAGAACAAAGATTTGCAGAGTCATACCTAAATTAAAATATGCAAATTGTTTCTCACCTTTCAATCTTCTAGATAACCCTCCGATTCTGACTGTTCCAACTCCAATAATGTGAAATCTTCAAATTCAAGCATGAGTAGAAAAATCCATTACTAGAATTTTTTCAATTTGTAGGAAATGAATGCCAAAACAAAGATTTGCAGAGAGTAACACCTAAACTAAAATAGCAAATTGATCCTCACCTTTCAATCTTGTGGATAATCCACCGATTCCAACTGTTTCGACTCTGATGATGAAATCTTGTATCGATTAATCAAATTGAACCATGGGTCGAAGGACATCCTTTGCATTGGGATGGTCCCACTCCAACGATTCCCACCATCCCAGTTCTTGTTGACTTATGTGGATTTTTTTGAGGGAAAGAGGAGGAGATGGTTGGGCTTTATCAACCAGGGGACGAAAAGGAATCCTCCTTAGGCCCTGGCAATCACTAATGGAAATAGATTCAAGAGAATCACATACCATTATTGCTCTCCTGCTACAGATGCTCTTTAATGCGGGCAAATTCTGCAATTTTAGTTCTTTTAATTTTGGAAGAATGAGCTCCTTGATGATGTCCCCTCCTTCTTCTTCTGGATCTGATCCTATTATTTCTTCCATTTCTTCACAATGTTCGACACAAATGTCCTCTAGACTTTGGAGATATTCCACCAACTTCCAAGATGGAAACAACTTCTTTATTTTTTTGCATTCCCAAAGGACAACTTTTTGGAGAGATGAAAAAGCCCTAGGTGGTGGTGATGACGTCGCCATGACGTTTGCTTCAAACAGCCCATCCAATTTGCGCAAACCTGCAAGAGACAGACACTCAAGGGTTTGGACGACTGAGTTGTTTATCCACGAGGCAAGAACGCACTCCACGCCATCACAGTCCCAAATCAAACATTGCCTCAAATCCGTTGCATCTTTGATTGCAGAAAAATCATTTAAGCTTCTTAGGTCGTGGCAAGCTTGAATACATAATACTTGTACAGTGGGAAATAACACATTCTCTCCAACAATACTAGTCGCCTCGAACCCCATTCTTTTCTTATATCTTGGTAACTGTTCTATATCCTGATAAATCTCACCAATCCCATCTAAATTGCTTCCAACAGTAATAAAATAATCACTCAGCCTATTAGGCTGACATTTGAGAAAAATTCTCATGTCATTCGCAGTGGGGAACCGGCCCTGAAAAACTTCCAACTCCTTCAATCTCCCAACCACGTTCCCCTTCAATTTTATTCTCCACTCATCTACAGTAAACTCTTGAAGTTTGGAGAGATTTGATAATACTCCATCTGCTATTTCATCTATTTGAGATCCATCAAGAAAAAGACATTTCAAATTCTTCAACATTCCCAGGTCTTCAGGCACTTCTTTGATTTTTGTGTGCCTAAGGTTTAACTTTTTCAAGGATTGAAGGCCTGACAAAGATGGTACCTTTTCTAGGGATGTTAATTCCAACAACAATGTAGTAAGCTTCACCAATTTGGAGACAGAATTTGGCAAGCTACTTAACTGCAGATTGAAGGTCAGATCAAGAATTCTTAGCTCTAGCATGTGCTCAAAGACAGATTCTGGAATTGTTGACAAGTTGTTATGGGCCAGCAGCAAGGTTGTGAGCCTTGTGCATGTTGAAAATGCCAAGCTCGATGGAATTTCTTCAATATAATTACGCATTAATGAAACCTTTTCAACACCCTCTGCACAATTTACCCTTTCTGGTAGCTCTTTCAATGCCTTGCCAGCTTCTACCAAGAACCGAGGACTCATTCTTGTAATGTCTAAGGCCATGTCCCTGACAAGATCGTGCATCCTCACACAATCTTCGCTATCTTCATCTTCAATCAATTCCAACAAGCTATTGTCTTCAAGCTTCCTCAAAATACCATAACCCTCATCCTTCATTGATTGCCGAGATTGCATTTCATCTATAAACCCCTCGTCAATCCAGCTTTCAATTATTTCCTCCCTCAGAATCTTGTGATCCTCAGGATACAGTGCACAATATAAGAAACAATATTGGATCTGTTGGTTTTCCAAACGATCATAACTGAACCTTAATATCTGAAATGCATCAGCATATGTACCTGCTACATTTCTTTTGTAATTTCTCAATTGATTCAGTGCAACACTCCACAACCGTGACTCAGATACTCCTTTTAAGCTGCCAGCAACTGTAATAAGTCCCAACGGAAGACCATCGCATTCATCCACAATCTCCTTCAAAGTTGATTCTAAATCCTTTTTAATGCCCCCTTCATGATCTGATAAAACAGCATCTCCAACTTTATTTAGAAACAATTTTAAAGCTTCCTCCTCTGAAAGAGTCTCCACATGGATTCTTCTACAATCCATTGAACGAGCAACCTCTTGTGACCGTGTAGTCAATACTAACTTGCAGCTATCAGTTACATTTGGCTTAGGAATTCCAACTTTTTCAAGTTCGAAACTGCACCACACATCATCAAGAATCAGCAAGTAAGGCTTCTGTTCCTCTAGCATCTTTGACAACACTCCTGCACGAATAGTTTCATTTTGAAGCTCTTCCAACTTTTCCTTCAAGTTCAAGCTGCGTGCAATTTCATCTTGCAATTTGGGGATATCAAAGTTTTGTGACACAGTTACCCAAATTATTTGCTTGAATTTACCTTCTTTTAGCAGTTCATTATGGACATGCTTCATTATTGTTGTTTTCCCGACTCCCCCCATCCCCCAAACTCCAAGCATTGTCACCTCTTCTCTCTTCAAGCATGCCAAAATATTTGCTTTAACAGCCTCACTGCCTTGTAACTCTGATGTTGTCAATTCAACTACCGAAGCTGATGGATCATCAATGACCAAACGGTCTGGCAATTGACTTCCTTCTTCACACATTGTCTTCATTTCTTGAATCTTTCCTCCAAGATGCATTATTACTAGAGGATCAGAGGAATGTGAGGAACTCCCTCCAATTTTATCTGCAATATCTTTGACTCCCTTCAACGTCTCCTCCACTTTTTCCCGCCAAAGTTTGACTTGCTCCATTTCAATTTTCCCATAGACAAGTTGTGAATTCAGTCTTGAACCAATGTCTGCCTGGTTGCACTGCAGCTTCTTTTTCAATTCATTAAAATTCTCCTCATAACACTTGAGTTTTTTGGAGTGATCTTCAATGACCAAACAGTCCCTAGTGTAGTTATCCCCTCTATCATATATTTCCTTCAATTCCTGTGTTCTTTCCTCTAGAACCACTGCTCGGCAACAGCAAGAAAGATACCCCCAACTGTTCACTTCATCAACAACATCCTGTCTTCCAATAAATTCTTCTACTTCTTTAAGCCAAACTTCTACTTCCTCCTTTACAACATGGTAAAGTGCAGATTCAAGCTCAGCCTCCCGTTTTGATTCGATTTCATGTTTCCGACTGTGCAAGAGTTGTTTGGTTTGCTCGAACTTTTGCAGAAGATCATTATATTTTATCTGGTATTTCAGATATCTCACAAATGGACGACCAACAAGCTTAACAAATTCGATGCTTGGCCCTACGCAATCCATAGATAGCTGAGTCACTGCATCACGTTATTCACATAAAAACGTCGTGAGAAAAATTGGTTTTTATGTGCATTTAGGCATATGTATCATGCATTGAAAACTTAAAGACTTCAGGAAATGCATCGATACTTCTTAAAGAGCCATCATTTCCAACAAATAAAAAATAAACTTTATTATATTTTCTTGGGAAAGACCAGGTATATGAGAAAAAAAGATAATAAATGCAGTAGCTAATGCCAACTAAAAAATGATGTTAAGAGAAGAAACAGAGAATGAGACAGAAATGAATTGTACAATGGGTTTTCCAACCCTCTGCCTAAAAACACATGTTAAGTCATAT